CTCTTATTTAAGATCCTGCTGAAGAACCAGATGGTATCCAGTGGGAAACGAGCACCGTGAGTTTAAAGAACCTGCAATGGCCACCATCTAGGGGCTCGACTAAGTCCAGGTATTGATCATCGATGTGTTATCTCCAATCTCCGATCAAAAGGAGGGAATGATTTAGAAATAATATTTGGAATCATTATTCCCTGACCTTGAGCTTGGAGAATTTTGATCCAGCTGGGGCTGGGCCCCTACAGACTCGCAGAGACACATCAACTGGGCCCTGAGATAGACAATAGAAGGGACAATCTCAGAAATTATCTTAAGGAAGTTTTCACAAAAGCCCATCAAACAGAACACAAAAGACTTTCCACTCCTATCTTTTTCTATTAGCATTTAGTGAATAGAAATTTTTTGGACCAATGAAGACCCTCCTGACTCTCGTTACTGAAACCTGTACCAATGATTGTTAAAAAAGACAGTTCAAAATGTAGAATCACAGTTTCTAGGCAATCTGAAAAGGCTAAGTTTTCAATGGTTTTGCCCATTTGTAATGTTAATATATACTGATGGCTCTTGTCATGGATTGAACTGTGTCCCCAAAAAAACGTGTGTAACAATTTGGCTAGGCCATGATTCCCAGAATTGTGTGGTTGTCCTCCATTTTGTGATTGTAATTTTATGTTAAAGAGAATTAAAGTGGAATTGTAACACCACCCTTACTCAGGTCACATCCCTGATCCAATGTAAAGGGAGTTTCCCTGGGGTGTGGCCTGCACTTGTAAGAGATAAAAGGAAAGGGAAGCAAGCAGAGAATTGGGGACCATCAAGAAAGCAGTGCCGGGAGCAGAGCGCGTCCTTTGGACCTGGGTCCCTGCACAGAGAAGCTCCTAGTCTGGGGGAGCACCAAAGAGAAGAAGGCCGACAGAGAGAAAAAGCCTTCCCCTGGAGCTGACACCCTGAATTTGGACTTTCAGCCTACTTTGACTATGAGGAAATAAACTTCTCTTCGTTAAAACCATCCACTTGTGGTATTTCTGTTATAGCAGCACTAGATGACTAAGACAGCTCTGTAACTGTTCTTTGGACTCGAGCAGACATGGCTGTGGCAGCATGCTTATCCGTTTTCCCATTCTCACCTATTCTGTAATATTCTTTGGACTTGGGCAGACATGGCTCTAGCAATATGCTTGTCTGTTTTCCCACTTTTGTCTCTTCTGTAATATTTCCTTAGATTCAGCCAGACATTCTAGCTCTGGTAGCATGCTTGTCCGCTTCCCACTTCTGCCCTTTTTGAATATATGCCGAACAAAACTTTCTTTTTTTAAAAAAAAAGAACATTTCAAGATCTATCCTGAAGTACAATGCTGTTAGTGATAGGATAATACCCGTATGTCTACAAGGGAGACCAGTTAATACAACCATTATTCAAATTTACACATCAACCACTAAGGCCAAAGATGAAGAAATTGGAAATTTTTACCAGCTTCTGCTGTCTAAAATTGATCAAACGTGCAATCAAGGTGCAATGATAATTATGATAAACTGTGTGGATCATAATTATCAATGCATTGATTAGAATGCAAAAGTTGGAAACAAACAAAAGCATCTGTAACTGGAAAATATGGCCTTGGAGATAGAAACGATGCCGGAGATCACATGATAGAATTTTGCAAGACCAAAATTATGATCTTATTCATGGCAAATGTATTTTTCAACAACATAAATGGCGACTATATACAAGGACCTCACTGGATTGAAAACACAGGAATCAAATCAACTACATCTGTGGAAAGAGACAACGGACAACTTCAATATCATCAGTCAGAACAAGGCAGGGGCCAATTACAGAGCAGACCATCAATTGCTCATATGCAAGTTGAAGTTGAGGAAAATTAAAACAAGTCCACAAGAACTACAATACAACCTTGGGGATATTCCACCTGAATTTGGAGACCGTCTCAAGAATAGATTTAACGCATTGAACACTGATGACCCAAGACCAGACTAGTTGTGGGATGACATCAAGGACATCATACAGAAGAAAACAAAAGGTCATTTAAAAGACAGGAAAGAAAGAAAAGACCAAAATGGATGGCAGAAGAGACTCTGAAACTTGCTCTTGAAAGTAGAGTAGCTAAAGAGAATGGAAGAGATGATGAAGTAAAGAGATTTCAAAGGGAGGCTTGAGAAGACAAAATAAGGTATTATAATGAAATGTGCAAAGACTTGGAATTAAAAAGCCTAAAGGGAAGAATACGCTTGGCATTTCTTAAGCTGAAAGAACTGAAGAAAAAATTCAAGCCTCGAGTTGCAATATTGAAGGATTCTAAGGCCAAAATATTGAACGATGCAGGAAGCATCAAAAGAAGATGGAAGGAATACACAGAGTCACTTACCAAAAAGAATTGGTCGACGTTCAGTCATTTCATGAGATAGCATATGATCAAGAACGGATGGTACTGAAGGAAGAAGTCCAAGCTGCACTGAAAGCACTGGCAAAAAACAAGGTTCCAGGAATTGACAGAATACTAATAGAGATGTTTCAACAAATGGATTACAGTGCTGAAGGTGCTCACTCTTCTACGCCAAGAAATTTGGAAGACAGCTACCTGGCCAATTGACTGGAAGAGATCCATATTTGTGCCCATTCCAAAGAAAGGTTGATCCAACAGAATGTAGAAATTATCAAACAATATCATTAATATCGCACACAAGTAAGATTTTGCTGAAGATAATTTAAAAATGGTTGTAGCAGTACATTGACAGTAACTGCCAGAAATTCAAGCCAGATTCAAAAGAGGACCTGGAACAAGAGATATCATTGCTGATGTAGATGGATCTTGGCTAAGAGCAGAAAATACCAGAAAGTTGTTTACTTCTATTTTATTGATTATGCAAAGCATTCGACTGTGTGGATCATAACAAATTATGGATAACGTTGGGAAGAATGAGAATTCCAGAACACTTAACTGTGCTCGTGCGGCACCTGTGCATAGATCAAGTGGTAGTCATTCAAACAGAACAATCGGATACTGCATGGTTCAAAATCAGGAAAGGTGTGATTCAGGATTGTATCCTTTCACCATACTTATTCAACCTGTATGCTGAGCAAATAATCAGAGAAGTGGGACTATATGAAAAAGAACATGACATCAGGATTGGTGGAAGACAGCCTTTGATATACAGATGACACAACCTTGCCTGCTGAAAGCAAAGAGGACTTGTAGCACTTACTGATGAAGATAAAGACAACAGCCTTCAGTATGGACTACATCTCAACATAAAGAAAACAAAAATCCTCACAACTGGACCAATAAGCAACATCATGATAAATGGAAAAAAGATTGAAGTTGTCAAGGATTTCATTTTACTTGGCTCCATAATCAATGTCCATGGAAGCAGCAGTCAAGAAATCAAACAACCTATTGCATTGGGCAAATCTACTCCAAAAGACCTCTTTAAAGTGTTGAAAAGCATAGATGTCACTTTGAGGACTAAGGCGGGCCTGACCCAAGCCATGCTATTTTTAGTAGCCTCATATGCATATGAAAGCTGGACTATGAATAAGGAAGACTGAAGAAGAACTGATGCCTTTGAATTATGGTGTTGTCAAAGAATATTGAATATACCATGGACTGCCAGAAGAACGAACCAGTCTGCCTTGGAAGACGTACAGCCAGAGTGCTCCTTTGAAGGGAGAATGGCAAGACTTGTCTCATGTACTTTGGACATGTTATTAGGAGGGACCAGTCCCTGGAGAAAGACACCACACTTGGTAAGGTAGAGGGTCAGAGAAAAACAGGAAGACCCTCAACAAGTTGGAGTGACACAGTGGCTGCAACCATGGGCTTAAACATAGCAATGATTGTGAGGATGATGCAGGACCAGACAGTGTTTTGTTCTGTTGTATATAGGGTCGCTGTAAGTCGGAACCAACCTGATGGCACCTAACAACAACAATGTGCCTATTAATATCTTGTTTATTAGTATATACAGAGTAATATCAAGCACTGTGTCCCATACAACAGACAATAAAAAATGAAACTCATTTGATACATAAATTAAAACTTTCCAAGTTAGATAAATATTAATATTTCCAGTATTTTGGGACGTTTGCTATGTTAGCATTATATTAAATTTTTACTCATGTTAGCATTATATTAAGTGTATGCTGGATTGTGTCTGCTTGTATGCCAAACATATATTAAAGTTATAAATGTTATTGTTTTCAAAACTTAGGATATAACTCTGTACATAAATGCTATACAGTTAAAAAGTAACTTAATTGAACTCATTGCAGTGGTCGACTTATTTGAATTTCATCACTTCTCCGAGTCATCTAGGACCGGAGTTCCCATTGGTTGTTTACCAGGACATGCGCAAGAGAATACCCTTATGTTTGTGTCATGGCAAAGAGCATTGCTGGCCCTCCTGGCTAGAGCTGCTGAATCAGCAGACGTGGATATACAAAATGGTTCTGTCAAAATGGATCAGAGACCTCTTATCTAGTAATATAATCCAACATCTTCAGGAGGGAACTAAGAGCCCTGGACTCGCTGCCAAGGTGTGGGCTGTGCCCTTCTCCCCTGTGTTCTGAAACTTCTTTTTGGGGGACCCTGACAGCCTAAAGGAAGAGATCTGCTACTATGGATTTCCCTCCCTGACTCAGGGCCTCAGTCTTGCCCCTTAAGTCTATCCTCAACCCTGGTTCCTTTCCTGCTCTAATTCCTCCCATGGCTCCCTATGCCCACAGGGTAATTCCATGATCAGGCTCTGGGAGAACCCGTGAAAGCGTGGGGCTCCTGTGGTCAGCAGAAGATGCAGTCAGGGTCTTCGGCTCAGAGACACTGACCCTGTCTCCACCACACCACTCCCACCTCTGGGCTCCCAAGGTCCCCAAGCACCCCTGCTGGCTCTCGGGGAGACTCCGGCAGAGGTGACAGCAGTTTTATTCGTGGGAGTCTGCTAAGGTAGGTGAGTGAGTTGGGGTGGGTCTAACGGGCAGGGGTGGGTCACTGCAGGCCCACGCCCAGTGGCTCCACGCGCAGCCACAGCCCGTCTTCAGCGCGCAGGATCAGCTCCGGCTTTCTCCGCGGCTCGGTGTCGTCCGGCAGGACGCGGAAGCGCAGCAGGGTGAGCGCCAGGACCACCTTCATCTCGGTCATGGCGAAGGTCTGCCCTATGCAGTTCCTGTGGGCGGGGAGGGGAGTCTGACTTAGCCCAAGACGTCCGTCCGGGCCCCTATCTCTCCTGGAACCCGGCCGGGGACCCCACCCCCACCTAGATTAGCTGGAGGAATAGAGAGAGGGTAAGTGAGCCTGGGACCCCAACGTGGGCTTCCGTGTTCCCTGAACTTGGCTCAGATTAACCCTCAACTCAGCCAAGCAGATGGGAAAGGGGCTCTGAGCACCTGGGCCCTCCTTGGACCTGCCCCGTTTTCCTAGAATCTTGTCCAAACTTCTCCCAGAACGATAACTCTGACCCTTAAAACACATCGCCCCCCATTCAGGGATGGAGGTAGTTTGACTACCTCCCAGACCCCTGCAACCCCTCACCCCATCCCTGTCTTAGATGTTCGCAGGCCTCACCTGGGCCCCGCCGAAAAAGGAATAAAAGCCAGCGGTGACCTCTTCTGGGGGTTTTCTGGGTCAAAGCGGAAGGGGTTGTATACCTGGGGGCAGGGAGAGACAGCGTTACTGGTCTTTTAGCACAGCCATCCACAGTCAGAAAAGACACACGTGTGTACAGTGTAGGGGAAATGTGTCTGATTTCCCCAGGCTGGGCCCTGCACCCTCCCCTAGGTCTCCGTGGATGAGAAGGGGGAGGGGCAGCACCTCTGGCTCAGGCCAGACTGATGGGTTGTGATGAATCCCGAAGATGCTGATGACACAGATGTTCCCTGTGAGGGAGGAAGGGACAGTCAGAATGAGGTCCCTGCTGCCTGATGGGCCCCCTTCCTGCCCATGACCTCCTCCCCTGCTGTTGTGGTCACCTTTGGGGATGACCCGGCCATCAGGGAGCACGACATCCTGGGTACAGCAGCGGGAGATGACGGTGACCGGGGGATGCATCCGCAGACTCTCCCTGATGCACATGGTCAGGAAAGGCAGCTTGGCCAGATCATCCCTAAGGAAACTCACAATTAACATGAGAGCAAAGACTCCCCCAGCCCCCGTCACCCAGTTGCACCCTCTTACCATCTCCCTCTGACCTTCACTCCTGATAACAAAATAAATTGCAGGTGAACCAAAGATTTACATATTAGAAAATCAAAATCACAAACACACCAGAAGAAAACTTGGCCTTGTATTTTGAGAAGCCCCTCCAAGCAAAACATAACATTCAGAGAGCATCCTTGAAAGGGTGAATACACTTGCATTAAAATTAAAAATTTTCTGCAAAGTAAAAAAGCAAAAATCAAAGGACAAATGAGTCAAAAGCAAAACAAAGATGTCTGCTATTACAATCTATAATGTAATATTGTACTGGTGATACTAGCTAATACAATTAGACAAGAAGTAAAAAAAAGGAAATGTGGAGGGAAAGATATCATCTTTGCTAGGTATTTTGCTGGATGCCTTTGAATTATGATGTTGGCAAAGAATATTGACTATACTATGAACTGCCAGAAGAACAAACAAATCTGTCTTGGAAGAAGTACAGCCAGAATGCTCTTGAGAAGTGAGGATGGCGAGACTTCGTCTCACATACTTTGGACATGTTATCAGAATGGACTAGTTCCTGGAGAAGAACTTCATGCTTGGTAAAGTAGAGGGTCAGGAAAAAAGAGGAAAACCCTCAGTGAGATGGATTGACACAGTAGCTGCAATGATGGGCTCAAGCATAAAAACGGTTGAGAGAATGGTGCAGGACCAGTTTCGTTCTGTTGTACACAGGGTCACTATGAGTTGGAAATGACTCGATGGCACTTGACAGCAACAACATAGCTAATACAACCAGATGGTTCAAAATCAAAGTATAAAAGAAGAAATTTTCCCTTTTGGAACTCCTATGTTCCAAAACCATACAATTCTCTTCCAGATTGCTAGTTTTTATAACTCTTTCCAGAGCTACTATTTGCATCATTGTTAAAAACATTAGTAGCACACTACATATTATACGGAGTCCCTGAGTTGTGCAAATGGTGAACACGCTCAGCTGCTAACCAAAAGATTGGAGGTTCGAATCCACCCACAGATGCCTCAGAAGAAAGTCCTGGTAATCTACCTCTGAAAAAACAGCCATTGAAAACTCTATGGAGCAGAGGTTGGAGCCCAAGATGGCAACTTAGACGGACACACCAGAAGTCTCCCTACATCAAAGACCTAAGAAACCAAGTGAAACAGACACAGATGACAGCCTTGGAACCCTGAACATCAAATGGAAGGATGAAGAATTAGACCAAGCTCTGAGTGGAAAGAGAGATAGAAAACAGCAGCTGCAGAGAGATACGGACCCGTGGTGCCTTGCCACCTGGCCAGGCACTGAGTGGCCATCTTGGGACAAAGCAGGCAGCATTCCTGCGTGAGGAGCACAAGAAGGCAACATTAGGAACTCATGACAGGAGAAAAAGATACTGTGCAAACAAACCTGGAATGAAACAAGATGAGCAGGACACAAGGTAGGGCTAAAAAGGGAAAGTGCAGGAAGATGGGGCAGGAGCACCAGAGATCCTGCTGACCATGGAGAAGGGAGGGAGTCAGAAACTGGGGAAGGGTATACTCGCCAGCAGCAGAGCCTGACCGTTTGGCCAGGAAACACCCAATGAATAGTACAACTTCAGAGAAGCAACTAGAGGTCCCCCCACCCAGCCAGCCTCCAGGTACTCCCCCACCCCACATTTGAACCAACTGGGCCCCAGCTGCCTGGGGAAACTAGGCAGGAGAGTCCTCTCACACCTGCAACTAGCAGTGTGAGCCCAAGCCTGCTCTGCAGAGACTGGCAAGAGCACACCTGGAGCCCATGATTGGCAAGAGTGCACCTGCAGCCCGGTGACTAGCAGGGGTGCACCCACTTCCTGGCAACCAGCAGGAGCATGCCTGCACTCTGGCGATTGGCAGGAGTGCACCCACTTCTCCACAACCAGCAGGAGCCACCTGCGATCTGCAACCAGAAGGAGAGAGCCTGCTGCCTGGAGACTGGTGGGAGCACCCCTGCATCAGCTGGGATTCCCCCCAAGCCTGCACAGTAACCAGAAACACATCCAGCGCCATTGCCAAGCAACCAACAGGTGTGCCCCATGCCCTAGCCCAGCAACTAGAAGACACACCCCTGTGTACTCTGCCAATGACCACCCAGCTTTGCTAGGCAGGCACATCCCATTACCATGACTGCCAGATGCATCCTGACAGACTCCAATGACAGGCAGTCACCCCCTGTATCAAAACCCAATGACCACCTGGCTGCAACATCACCCATCCTACACCCAGCCAGTTCCCACAGACCAATCCCACATGCACTGAGACCCCTTGACCTCCCACCAACTACTGAGATACCAATTCATGCCCACGTAAAGGGCCTATCCTGTCCATTTGGGTAGCATTGCTAACCTATGGCAAAGGAGACGACCTGTCCTGCTCTCCAGCAAATGCACTAACTGCTAGCCCCAACCTGGAAGGACTCCATGGTCCCACAAGGGCTGTGGAGGGACCCAGACCACCCAACACTTGTCACCACAAACAAAAAACCATGACAAAACAAACAAACATACAATCAATAAATGAATAAAATAACACCTCAATGCCTCAGAGACAGCAGACAATATCAAATCAAACAAAGATACAGGACAAGATGTCTAAAGCAAGTGACCAAAATAAAGGGACAGAAAATTTTCCTGATGAAGAAATGGCAATAGAACTACCTAACAAGGAATTCAAATGACTTACACATAGGATCCTCAGAGAGGTCAAGGAAAACATAGACATAACTCTAGAAGAATTAAGAAAAACAATATAAGTACAAAATAAACAGACAAGTAGAAACCATACAAAAACAGCAACTAGAAATCCATAAGTTTAACAATAAAATATCAGAAATAGACAACTCAATGGCAGGACATAGAACACCTGACTCAATGGAAGAAAGCAGCAGCAAAATAGAGGATGAATTCCTTGATACTAATTTATTTTAGGAACTATCAGAAAAAAGAATAAAGAAAAATGAAGAAATCCTAAGAGTTATGTGGGACACTATCAAGAGGAACAATCTATGCATGATTGGAATTCCAGAACAGGAGGAAGCAAGAAAAAACACAGAGAATTTTTGAAGAATTGCTGGCAGAAAACTTTCCTGATATCATGAAAGATGAGAAGGTTTCCATCCAAGAAGCTCAATGAATCCCATACAGGACAGACCCCAAAAGAAAGTCACCAAGACATATAATCAAGCTTTCCAAAACCAAAGACAAAGAATTCTGAGAGCAACTCATGAAAAATGAAATATCACACACAAAAGGACACTAATAAGACTAAGCTCTGACTTCTCTGCAGAAACCATACAGGCAAGGAGGCAATGGGATGACATATATAAAACCCTGAAAGGAAAGAATTGTCAACTAAGAATCATATACCCAGCAAAACTGTCTCTCAGATATGATGATGAAATTAGGACATTCCCAGATCAACAGAAATTAAGGGAATTTGAAAAACGCAGACCAACCTTAAAAGAAATATTAAAGGGAGTCCTTCAGACAGAAAACCAATGACATCAGATAACAACCTGAGACCAAGACACACAACAACATCACCCAGATACCAACCCAGACAAAGAACTCTTAAAATTAAAATAAAGCTACAGAGCTGAAAACTAGGAACCAGAGACGCCAATCTGAAATCGATGACAACTTCAAAACAAAAAGAAAGAATGAATGGTATAGTTATAGAACTTGCATATGAAGAGGAAGTCAAGATAATACAAAAAAATTACAGACTTTCAAACATAGGATGATAAGGATAAACTTCACAGTAACCACAAAGAAAATTAACAAACCTACTCACCAAAATAAAGAAGAAAATCAAAAAGACCCCAAAAACACAAAATAAACAAAAACGAAGGAAATGAAAAGGCCATTCATGAACAAAAGAACTGAGCACAGAAAATGAAGTGGAACAAAGAAACCTTCAACAACACACAAACAAAAAGCATAACAAAATGACAAAAGTAAATTCATAGCTATCGGTAATCGCAATGAATGTAAACGGTTTAAATGCACCGGTCAAGAGACAGAGAGTGGCAGAATAGATTTAAAACAAAAAAAAAGAGCCATCAATATGTTGCATACAAGAGACACGTCTGAGACGCAGAGACATAAATAGTCAAAAATCAAAGGATGGGAAAAAATAAGCAAACAGTAACCAAAAAAGAGCAGGAGTGGGAATATTAATCTCTGATGAAATAGACTTTAAATCAAACTCCATCATAAGAGATAATGAAGGACATTATATAATGATTAAGGAATCAATTCACCAAGGGGACATAACTATAATAAATATTTATGCACCCAATGACAGAGCTCCAAAATGCATAAAACAAACCCTAACAGAATTGAAAAGAGAAATAGACAGTTCTACAATAATAGCAGTCTGTCAGTTTGTCCTGATGTGGTGGCTTGCATGTTGTTATGTTGCTGGAAGCTATGCCACCGGTATTTCAAACACCATCAGGGCCACTCATGGTGGACAGGTTTTAGCCTAGCTTCCAGACTAAGACAGACTAGGAAGAAGGACCTGGCAGTCAACTTCTAAAAAAATTGGCTAGTGAAAACTTCATGAATAGCAGTGAAACGTTGTCAGATATAGTGTGGGAAGATGAGCCCCTCAGGTTGGAGAAGAGCTGCCTCCTCAAAGTAGAGTCCACCTTAATGACATAGATGGAGTTAAACTTTTGGAACCTGCATTTGCTGATGTAGCATGATTCAAAATGAGAAGAAACAGCTGGAAACATCCATTAATAATTAGAACAAGAAATATACAAAGTATGAATCTAGGAAAATTGGAGAAGTTGTCAAAAATGAAGTGGAATGCATAAAGATCAATATCCTAGGCATTACTGAGCTGAAATGGACTGGTAATGGCCATTTTGAATCAGACAATCATATGGTCTACTATGCCAGGAATGACAATTGAAGAGGAATGGCATTGCATTCATCATCATAAAGAACATTTCAAGATCTATTCTGAAGTACAATGCCGTCAGTGATAGGATAATATCCATACGCCTACAAGGAAGACTGGATAATACGACTATTATTCAAATTTATGCACCAAACACTAAGGCCAAAGATGAAGAAACTGAAGACCTTTTACCAACTTCTACAGTCTGAAATTGATCAAACATGCAATCAAAATGCATTGATAATTACTGGTGATTGGAATTCGAAAGTTGAAAACAATGAAGAAGGATCTGTAATTGGAAAATATGGCCTTTGTGATAGAAACAACACCAGAGATCGAATGATAGAATTTTTCAAGACCAACGACTTCTTCATTGCAAAATCTTTTATCAACAACATAAACGGTGACTATATGCGTGGAGCTCACCAAATGGAATGCACAAGAATCAAATTGACTATGTCTGTGGAAAAAGACAACAGAGAAGCCCAATATCATCAGTCAGAACATGGCCAGGGGCCAACTGCAGAACAGACCATCAATTGTTCATATGCAAGTTTAAGGTAAAGCTAAAGAAAATTAAAACAAATCCACAAGGGCCAAAATACGACCTTGAGTATATCCCACCTGAATTCAGAGACCACCTCAAGAATAGATTGGACACATGAACACTTTTACTTAATCATTTCTTCCTTTTGTTTTAGCTACTCTACATTCAATAGCAAGTTTCAGAGTCTCTTCTGACATCCATTTTGGTCTTTTTTTTTCTTTCCTGTCTTTTTAATGACCTTTTGCTTTCTTCATGTGTGATGTCCTTGATGTCATCCCACAACTCGTCTTCTGTCCTTAGTGTTCAATGAGTCAAATGCTGCTGTTAGCTGCCATCAAGTCAGCCCCCAACTCATAGCAACCCCATGCACAATGAAACAAATTGCTGCCCACTCCTGTGCCATCCCCATGATGGGTTATGGATTCAGATCATTGGGGTCTTAGAGTTTTCACTGGCTGATTTTCAGACGTCAATTGCCAGACCTTTCTTCCTAGTGTGTCTTAAGTCTGTAAGCTCTGCTAAAACTTACTCAGCATCATAGCTGCACACAAGCCTCCACTGATGGGCAGGTAGTGGCTGCACATGAGGTGCATCAGCCAGGAATGGAACCTGGGTCTCCAGCATGGAAGGTGATATTTTTGCCATTGAACCACTACTGACCCCTCCAGTGAAGTAGGGAGCACTACCTCCAAAGTGTCCAGTCCAATGCCTCATCTCCAGCCCCCAGCCCAGAATCTGCTTCCTAGACCCCCAATATCTAGAGTACCCCGCAGTTTGCCCCAGATAGATCTTCTAAAACCCAGATCTGACCTGTACCTCCCCTGTTCAAACACCTCCCGTGGCTCTGCATTGCCCTCCTTTGGAAGTCATTGAGATGCCCTATTCAGTTTTCCTGTCAAGATAGAACTTGCTGTCTAGATGCAAGGGGTGCAGTTAGCTGACAGCCTCTAGCCACAGGGTCTTCAGGCTCTGCAGTGGCATTCAAGCCTCACTTCCCTTTCTCTCTACCTAGCCTTGCTCATGTAGGACTAGGATGGGCCTGGGCACAGAGCTGGGGAAGGAGAGGTAGTGTGAAAGTGTTTGCTGAATGTCTTAGTTACCTAGTGCTGCTATAACAGAAATACCACAAGTGGATGGCTTTAACAAAGAGAAACTTATTCTCTCAAGTCTAGGAGGCTAGAAGTCTAAATTCAGGGCACCAGCTCCAGGGGAAGGCCTTCTCTGTGTGGCAGCTTTGGGGTAAGGTCTTTGTCATCAATCTTCCCCTGGCCAAGAAGCTTCTCAGCGCAGGGACCCTGGGACCAAACAATGTACTATTCTGGCTCTTGTTTCTTGGTGGTATGAGGTCCCTCTGTCTCTCTGCTCACTTTTCTCTTTTATATCTCAAAAGAGACTGACTTAAAACACAGCCTAATCTTGTAGATTGAGTCCTGCCTCATTAACATAACTGCCACTAATCCCACCTCATTAACATCATAGAGGTAGGATTTATAACACATAGGAAAATCATATCAGATGACAAGATGGTGGACAATCACACAATATTGGGAATCATGGGCTAGCCAAGTTGACACACATTTTGGGGGGACACATTTCAATCCATAACACTGAACAAAGAGATGGATGACTTTTACCCCTGAAGATCTCTAGTGGATCCTTGGGATGGACTATTCGGTAGAAACTAGGGAGAAGAATGAGCAAGCAATCACGGGAGTGAAGATCTTTGAAAAATATGCAATTTCAGGAAGGAAAGCAAGGGACAGGAGGGGAACTTTATTTACTGGATGACATCTGCTCTACATACACTGTCACAAATTCTTTAAGCAGCCCTATGGGGTGGAGATTGCCCCCATTTATAGAAAAGAAGGTAGTATTCAGAAAAGAGAAGTGATTTCATTTAAGTCATACAGCAAGTTATGACGCACCAAGCATCAACAGTTAAACCTTTCTAACACTAAAGCCTGAAACATTTCCCTCTCAAGTAGGCTGGGTACCAGGCCACGCCTCTTGCCTCTGCTCCTATTCCCACTAAGCAATAATGGAAAATTGGCAGAAGGATCTTCCCGAGTCCCCACCAGGGACAGAGCCAAGGAAAGGGGCTTCAGAGGATAGGTCAAGAGAGCCTGCACTCACCATTCAATTTCCTCTGGCCTGCGGTCCCTCAGGAGCTCTTGCACCTCCTGCCTGCAGCGCTCCTGGTATTCTGGGTGCTTGGCGAGGTTATACAGGACCCAGGAGAGGCCACTGGCTGTGGTGTCATGACCTGAGGGCAGCCAGGTGGGCTTGGGTCACTGGGCTGCTTGAACACCAGAGAATGGACAGCTCCCTTGTATTGAAGTCCTCAAGGAAGATTGGGGAAGGTGGGGCAGAATGGGGCAGTCCAAGGTCCACCCACCAAGTCCCTGGGAAGGAGACATCCTTGCCCACAATGCAATCCCATGCTGAGACCTCACCCTCAAACATGAAGGTGTCGGCTTCTGCTCGGATGTCCTCATCTGACAACTCCTTCCCATCTTCATCCTGGAGAGAAGGCAAGACCACCACCATCCCTGAATCACACCATCTCTGAGGGCTCCAGTATCCATCATCCCCACAGCCCCTGTGCCAGCTCAGGCCTCCTTCTTGTCTCCTTGCCTCTCCAGACAAAATTCCATTGAATGATCCCTAAGACACATCTCTAAACCATCCCTTCCCCCCAAACATCTTCCATGGCACTCCAATGCCTTCAAAATCAAACCCAAGCTCTTCAATTTGATATTTGAAATTGGGGTCCCGCCCATCTCTCTAACCCAGGTAGCAGAGAAGCCCACCTTGGCCAGCAGGAGCACGTCAATAAAGTCCAAAGTCTTGGCCTTGGCTTTGGCCTTGAGGAAGTAATCAGCACCCTGAGTGGTGAGGGTATGGCGCCGCTCCTGGATCACGGCGTCTGTGAACTCATGCACCAGGTCACAGGCCCTGCGGAAGCGCCGCCCGTCGGGAGTGAGGTGGTACAGGAAGTCCATGTGCAGAAAGATTTGAAGGTGCCGTTTCACCACTAGGGCACTGAGCTCCAAGATGGCAGCAATATATTCGCTGGGACGTCTGCAAGTCCAGGCCACAGACAGGCTGGATTTTCTTTAACACACATGAAACCCTGGGAACACCTCCCACCCTGAACCACAGGACCATGCCCTGTCTGGGAAAGGGCACCCCCTACGTTTGTATGTCCCCCTGTATCCCCATCACTGGGAGCTGCCTCCAGGCACCGGGGAACTAGACGGAGGTTGAGCACATGCTCATCCTTCTCTCCTACCCAACACCTGGTCCTACCCATTCTTCTTCATCGGTTTCTCTCATACTTCCTCATTCTCTACACCCTACTCAGACCTCCTCCTTCCAATATCAACATGATAGTCAGTCTTCCACAGAGTCAGATTTCTAAAGCTCAGCTCTGACCACATCCCTCCTCAGCTCAAACACCTTCTCATGGCACCCTGAAAACCTCAGAATAAATGTCATATACCCCTTTGCCTGGCTTTTGAAACCCCGTAAGATTTAGTCCTTGCTGACCTCTCTGACTTCGTATCTAAGGTGTCTTCTCATCATCTGTTACATACACTCTGCTCATCCTAGCCTTCATGCCTTTACTATCTACCTGGAAGGACGCTTCTTTAACTCTACCTTTTCTTGTCCTTCAATGCCCAGGTCTGGCCCATCTCCACCAGGAAGGCTCTTCTGGTTGCCCTGGTCAGCACTCTTTCCCCCATCTACTCCCTTGGGTTAATGGTCCAAGTTCCAGATCTAGGTTTAGGACTCACTCCTGGCAGTGGCTGTCAAAGCTGAAGACACATTTCTGCAGACTGTCCAGGGTCATGAGGCTGATATGCTCAAACATGTCCAGACGGATGCTGCCCTCTGAGGCCAGGCGCTGCCACTTGGCCTGGCAAAAACAGAGGAAGGAGCTGGGGCTGGGCTCTTTCTACCCTGAGACCCTCCCCAGGCCCAACCACCAGGATGGACTCAGCCCAGAACCCAGCCTCCTGGTCCTCCATCCAAAGCACCCATCACAGGAGCAGACTAGGATTGGGTAGGAGTGGAAGCTATCATTATTAGGACGTGAAGACCCCACATGATGAATCAGGAGCCCTGGATTCAGGTTCCAGCTCAGTCCCCTATGTTCTGTGTGCCCTAGATCAACTCATTGCCCTTCCCTGGATCCCAACTTTTCAACAGTCACTAACAGTTAAAATGACTTACTTTGGTGTCAGATTAAGCAGGTGGAAATCCCAGCTCCACCCCTTACTAGCTCACGTGCTAGCTGCATCAACCTGGGCAAGCTCTGAAACGTCTCTGAGCCTGTTTCATCATCTGTAATGTGGCAATTCACAATCATCTTTACCTCATGGGGCTGTGAAGTTTAACTTACACAGTACGTGTGGTGGAACTGGCACATCGTTTCTTTTTTGGGAAAGGAGTGAAGGAATATATTAAAACATTTTGTCAGTGTTTGTATCTACAATTGCAGAGATCCCAAAAATAATTTCATGTAAAAAAGAAATAAGCATTAACCATTCAATTAAAATGGAGTGAAACCTTGCAACATCCTGCCCCTCCATAATGCAAAGCTGAATAAAAACACAACTGGGGATGGGATCCTCTACTCCAAGACAGGCCTACACCAGTCATTTCGTTATGCTGACAATAAAGTAACCTGCATTTTACACAGCAAGTGTACTGGCATTATACATTGTTTCAATTTTCTTAATTTTTTGATAAGCAATATTGCCTCTCCTCCATGGCTAACATTAATAATGCTAATAAAATTGTATTAAAGATGACTAAACTTAAATATACCTTATTTGATTATGAAATTATCATATATGGTAGTGATAATTTAAAAATACATTTTTTTTGCCTGTATGGTTGTGCTTTTATAATTGTCCTTTATATGAAGATTACAGAACAAACTAGCTTCTCATTAAACAATTAGTACACATATTGTTTTGTGACATTGGTTACCAACCCCAAGATGTCAACACTCTTCCCTTCTCGACCTTGGGTTCCCTATTACCAGCTTTCCTATCCCCTCCTGCCTTCTGTTCCTTGCCCCTGGGCTTGTGTGCTCCTTTAGTCTCGTTTTGTTTTATGGGCCTATCTAATCTTTGGCTGAAGGGTCAACCTCAGGAGTGACTTCTTTACTGAGATAACAGGGTGTCCGGGTGGCGTACTGTCAGGTTTTCTCCAGTCTCTGTGAGGCCAGTAAGTCTGGTCTGGTACTCCCTATGGTGATCCCTGTCAGAGCTGTCTGTGATGGTAGCCAGGTACCATCTAGTTGTGCTGGATTCAGTCTGGTGGAGACTGTGGTAGTTGTGGCCCATTAGTCCTCTGGACTAATCTTTCCCTTGTGTCTTTGGTTTTCTTCATTCTCCCTTGCTCCAGACGGGGTGAGACCAGTAGAGTATCTTAGATGGCTGCTCATAAGCTTTTAAGACCCTAGACACTACTCACCAAAGTAGAATGTAGAACATCTTCTTTATAAAGTATGTTATGCCAATTGAGGTAGATGTTCCCCAAGACCATGGTCCCAACAGCCCTCAGCCTAGTAATTCGGTCCCTCAGGGAATTTGGATGTGTCTATGGTGCTTCCATGACCTTGCCTTGGACAAGTTGACACATCATTTCTGGCATATAGTGAGTGCTCAATAAATGTTAGCAGTCATCATCATTGTCATGGATTGAATTATGTCCCTTAAAAAATGTGTGTATCAATTTGGCTTGCTCATGATTCCCAGTATTGTATGATTGTGTAGCATTTTGTAATCTGATGTGATTTCCTTATGTGTTGTAAATTCTATCACTATGATGTAATAAGATGGATTGGGGCTGTTATACTGATGAGGTATACAAGATTGGATAGTGTCTTAAGCCAATCTCTTTTGAGATATAAAAGGAAGAAGCAAGCAGAGACACAAGGGAAACTCATACCATCAAGAAAGCAGTGCCGGGAGCAGACTGCGTCTGTTGGACCTGAGGTTCCTGTGCAGAGAAGCTTCCAGAGCAAGGGAAGATTGATGACACGTATCTTCCTCCAGAGTCAACAGAGAAAGCGTTCCCCTGGAGCTGATGCCCTGAATTTGGACTTGTAGCCTACTACTAGACTGTGAGAGAATAAATTTTTCTTTGTTGAAGCTATCCACTTGTGGTATTTCTGTTATAGCAGCACTAGATGACTAAGACAATCATCTTCATCATTATCTTAGTGGCAGATGATTGCAATAATGTCCCCAGTTAGTCCTGACCCTTTGCAATAAGATTTTTGGAACTCCTTCCTTTAGGAGGTGGAGCTGATTCGCCTCCCCACCCCTTAAATTTCAGCTGGCCTTGGGACTTCCTTGGCCAATGTTGTTGTTGTTGTTGTTCTTAGCTGCCATTGAGTTAAATTAATGGAGACCTTTTGTATAACAGAAATGAAACGTACCCTGTTCCTGCATCATCCTCACTATCGCCGGCATGTTCAAGTCCATTATTGTGGCTATTGTGCCAATCTATCTCACTGAGGGGCTCCCTTGCCCTCCCTGGCCCTCTTCTTCACCAATTATGATGTCCTTCTCCAGCGATTGATCTCTCCTGATGACGTGTCCGATGCAATGTTCTGTTGTGATCTGTAAGGTTTCCATTGGCTAATTTTCAGAAGGAGTTTACCAGGTCTTTCTTCCTCATCTGTCTTATTCTGGAAGCTCCATTAAAACCTGTCTACCAAGGGTGACCTTGCTAGTATTTAAAATACTGGTAGCATAGCTTCCAGCAGCACAGCAACACAAAAGCCACCACGGTATGACAAACTGACAGATTGGTGGCAGGCTTTGGTTGATAGAATGTGGTTGTCTTAGGCTGGGTTCTCTAGAGAAGCAAAACCAATGAAGCATATAAATACATGTAGAGAGAGAGCTTTATATCAAGGAAATGGCTCACACGGTTGTAGAGGCTGGAACGTCCCAAGTCCATGGGTCAGGATAGAGGCTTCTCCCGATGCATGTAGCCACAGGGGCTGGCAAACCCAAGATCAGCAGGTTGGAGAGCAGGGCTCTTGTTCACAGGCTGTGAAGATCAACGAATCCCAAAGATTGGCAGGAAAGACCGCAGGTAAGCTGCTAGCTCAAGTCCCAAGAACTGAAGATCAGATGAACAGGAGCCAGCTGCAGGATCCAGAATGAGCAAAAGCCCACAAGCCTTGCCAGAATATCCACTTATATTCAATGCAGGCCACACGCCCAAGGAAACTCCCTTTTAATTGATTGGCTGCTCACAGCAGATCCCATCATGGAGGTGATCACATAATATCAAATATCATCATGGAAGTGATCACACCATCATTGTTGTTAGGTGCCATCAAGTCAGTTCTGACTTCTAGAGACACTATGCACAACAGAAAGAAACACTGCCCGGTCCTGCGCCATCCTCACAATTGTTGCTATGCTTGAGCCCATCGTTGCAGCCACTGTGTCAATCCATCTCATTAAGGGTCTTCCTCTTTTTCACTGACAGTCTACTTTACCAAGTATGATATCCTTCTCCAGGGACTGATCCCTTCCAATAACATGTCCAAAGTATGTGAGACAAAGCCTCACCATCCTCACCATAATTCAAAGGTATCAATTCTTCTTCGGTCTTCCTTATTCATTGCCCAGCTTTCACATGCATATGAGGCAGTTGAAAACACCATGGCTTGAGTCAGGTGTACCTTAGTCCTTAAAGTGACTTTTGCTTTTTAACACTTTAAAGAGGTCTTTTGCATTATTACTTCACTAATAAACCCCATAATCATGAGTACTATCTGTGAGTTCTGTGTGGTCATTGCAATGAACCATCAAACCCAGCAGAGAAGTACAGAGTGCCGTGGGAGGGATGGTTGGTGTCAGAATTGGTAAAGATGGTGGAGAGGGCAGGCATGTCTGACCTCCGCCTCATAGGAATCAGCCTTGGGCTGTTGATCTTGATTCTATTTCCCTCTTGTGAAATTAGAGGTCAGACTCTTCCCCCACACTGTTTTTTACAACCATACTTATTCAATCTGTATGCTGAGCAAATAATCTGAGAAGCTGGACTATATGAAGAAGGACGCGGCATCAGAATTGGAGGAAGACTCACTAAAAGCCTGTAGTAAGTAGATGACACAATTTTTCTTGCTGAAAGTGAAGAGAACTTGAAGCACTTACTGATAAAGGTCAAAGACTACAGCCTTCAGTATGGACTACACCTCAACATAAAGAAAACAAAAATCCTCACAACTAGACCAATAAGCAACATCGTGATAAATGGATGTCTCAGACATCTAGCACTGCCATAACAAAAATACCACATGTGGATGGTTTTAACGAAGAGAAATTTATTTCCTCACAGTCAAAGTAGGCTAAAAGTCCAAATTCAGGGTGTCAGCTCCAGGGGAAGGCTTTTTCTCTCTGTCGGCCTTCTTCTGTTCGGTGTTCCCCTGGACTAGGAGCTTCTCGGAGCAAGGACCCCAGTCCAAAGGATGCGCTCTGCTCTTGGCACTGCTTTCTTGATGGTATGAGGTCCCCCTGTCTCTCTGCTCACTTCTGTCTTTTATATCTCAAGAGATTGCCTCAGGACGCAATCCAGTCTTGTAGATCAGTCCTGCCTTACTAACACAATTGCCACCCATCCTCCCTCATTAACATCATAGAGGCAGGTTTACAACACACAAGAAAATCACACAGTACCAGGAATCATGGCCTAGCCAAATTGATACACACATTTTTGGGGGGACATAATTCAAACCATGACAATGGGAAAAAAGTATGAAATAGTGAAGGATTTCATTTTACTCGGAACCACAATCAATCCCCATGGAAGCAGTAGTCAAGAAATCAAACGATGTATTGCATTGGGCAAATCTGCTGCAAATGATCTCTTTAAAGCGTTAAAAACAAAGATGACACTTTGAGGACTAAGGTGCACCTGACCCAAGTCATAGTATTTTCAATCGCCCCATATGCATTGCCAAAGCAAGACAATGAATAAGGAAGCCAAAAAAGAATTAATGCGTTTAAATTATGGTGTTGGCAAAGAATATTGAATATATCATGGACTGCCAAAAGAAAGAACAAATCTGTCTTGGAAGAAGTATAGCCAGAGTCCTCCTTAGAAGGGAGGATGGCAAGACTTCTTCTCACGTGCTTTGGACATGTTATCAGAAGGAACAAGGACATGTTATGAGAAGGACATCATGCCTGGTGAAGTAGAGGGCCAGCAAAAAAAAGGAAGAACCTCAGTGACACGGGTTGACACAGTGGCTACAACAATGGGCTCAAGCATTAGGAACAACTGTAAGGATGACACAGGACCTGGCAGTGTTTCGTTCTGTTATATGTAGGATCGCTATGAGTTGGAACTGACTCAATAGCACCTACAAAACAACAATGAGCACTTACTAAGGCTCGGGATGGTGCAAACGGTTTGCTCTTGGCTACTAACAGAAATGTTGGGGGTTCGAATCCACCTAGCAGCACGGAAAAAGAAAGGCCTGGCCATCTACTGCTGTAGGATTATAGCCATTGAAATCCCAATGGAGCACAGCTCTACTCTGAAACACGTGGGTCTCCATAAGTTGGAATCGACTTGACGGCAACAAGTCAGGTTGTTTTCTTGTTGTTGTTGTTGTTTGCTTGTTAATTTGTTTGGAGCGCCTACTATGTGCTAGAGGCCTGATTCCATTGTGCCATCTTGAACACCCTTCAAAATGGGGATTATTATCCCCACTTTACAGATGAAGAAACTGAGGCTCAGAGAGGAAGGGCAATGGCCCAAAAGCCACACAGCAGAGCCAGGACCTCAGACCAAATTTATCTGCAGCCCCTCCCCCCGAGGCTCATCAGAGGCCCTGGGTTCACAGGACTCACGTGCATGATGTCCGTGCTGTCATTGAAGATCTTCATGTAGGGCTTCAGGATTTCAAAGTGGAAGGCGGGTGTCAGCAGGCGGCGGTGGCGGTTCCACTTGTCACCACCACTCAGCAGGAGCCCATCCCCTAGTAGGGGCAGCCATGGGGAATGGGCGAGGGCAGCACCTTCCTCTGGACCCCTTGATTGTCCCCAACCCCCTTCACCCACATTTACTCACCCAACCAGGGCTTCAGGAAGCTGTAGAAAAACATGTCCTTGGGAGCAACGGTGGCTGACATGAGAGATGGACCATGAGGGCCCATGGAGAGAAGGAGGGGAGGGGCTTTGGGTCGGGGTGTGGTCTCTCAGCCAGGGGTCTGTCCTTCCTCCAGCCAAGCCCAGGATGGCAGGACTGGGTACAAGGGCAGAGGAGGCAGGGAGGAGGGGGAAGCAAGGGAACACCAGACCAGGCTACAGTAGCAGGAGTAGAGCAAAGTCAAAGCCCGTGGAGATACAGCCCAACATGTTAGACAAACCCTGTTATGGATTGAATTTTGCTCCCCACAACTATGTGTTGTAAACCCTAACCTCTATGCCTGTGGTTATAATCCCACTTGGGAATGGATTGTCTTTGTTATGTTAATGAGACAGAATTAGTGTCGGGCTTATCTTGAGTCAATCTCTTTTTAGATGTAAAAGAGATTAAACACAAGCTAGAAGCAGAGATGGTGAAAGAGAGGTGCCAAGCCACATGATGATTGCCCAGGAGCAGAACCTTGGAAGAGATAAGGACTTTTCTCCAGAGCTGACAAAGAGAGAAAACCTTCCCCTATAGCTGGCGGCCTGAATTAGGAATTCTAGCCTCCTAAACTGTAAGAAAATAAATTTCTGTTTGTTAAAGCTCCTCACTTGTGATATTTCTGTTATAGCAGCAGCCAAGAAATCGAATGATGTATTGCACTGGGCAAATCTGTTGCAAAAGACCTCTTTAAAGTGTTAAAAAGCAAAGATGTCACTTTGAGGACTAAGGTGTGCCTGACTCAAGCCATGGTATTTTTAATCGCCTCATGTGCATGCAAAAGCTGGACAATAAATAAGGAAGACCAAAGAATTGATGCCTTTGAATTACGGTGTTGGTGAAGAATATTGAATATATCACGGACTGCCAGAAGAACGAACAAATCTGTCTTGGAAGAAGTACAGCCAGAATGTTCCTTAGAAGCAAGGATGGCAAGACTTCGTCTCACATACTTTGGACATGTTATCAGGAGGGACAAGTCCCTGGAGAAGGACAGGTATATGCTTGGTATAGTAGAGGGTCAGCCAAAAAGAGGAAGACCCTCAACGAGAGGATTGACACAGTGGCTGCAGCGATGGGCTCGAGCACAGCAACGATTGTGAGGAAGGCGCAGGACCAGGCAGTGTTTCATTCTGTTGTACTTAGGGTGGCTATGAGTTGGAACCGACTCGACAGCACCTAACAACAACAACAACAGATAACTGAGACACACCCTAACATGGAGTAACATGCTCCAGCAAGCTTTGATTTGTCTCCTGCATGCTTCAACACCCTACAAGATGCATTACATGAACTGAGGGTGCCTTGGCATGGATGAGTCTCCTCTGACATCTGTGCACCTGAGACAACTGACATGACACCAATGTGTGATAACACGCCCTGATATGGCCTCACATATATGACATGCCCTAACCTGTCCATAACATGACACAACATGCTATAACATGGACCAGAGACATCTGAAATGACCTCAACATGCCCTACACACAAGCTCTGGGCAAGATTTCAATATAGTCCTGTTAATGTACCAGATAGGAGTACCTGGGTGGTGCAAATGGTTAAGCACTCAAATGTTAACCTAGAGGTTGGCGGTTCGAACCTACCCAGAGATGCCTTGGAAGAAAGTCCTGGCAATATACTTCTGAAAAGTCACAGCTTTGAAAACCCCTATGCAGCAGTTCTACTCTGCATACATGGAGTCACCATGAGTCAACAATGGCTTTTTTGTTTTCTTTAATGTTCCAGACATGATCCAGATAAGACACACACTTTGTTAGGATCCTGCCCCTGCCACCAGACTTGGGTTGACATAATTAGGGTCTGAAAGAGACCAGAGGATGCCAAAACCTCCTCCCATGCTGAGTTCCACCCACCAGGAAAAACTACCTCTGCTCCCTCAAGCCCAAAGAACAGCCTCCAAGGTCCAGCCAGACATCACGGGCGAACGTGGAGTCTGGAGGATCTTCTCCCACATAACCTGGCCACTCCCAAAATCACCTTCCAGCTTGAGGTCCCTCCCAGCAGAGGCAGCTGGGGCAGCCAAGAGTACACAGAGTAAGAGGGGACTTTGATAGGCTGTGTGACCCTGACAAAGTCACTGTACCTCCTTAAGCCTCAGTTTCCCCACCAAGAAATTCTCACCTCCCAGGGGTGCTGGTGGATGGTCGTCTGTGGTTTCTGCCGGTCCAGCTTTCCTCTGCTTTCTTCTGGTACCCCCATATTCCACTGGAGAACCACTCCTCCCCCACCCTCAATATAAATAGTTGGAAGATGACCATCTCATCCCACCCCCTGCCCCAGAGCTGAGCATATGACCCTAAGCCTTAGCAAGCAGGTCACAGTGATTGGATGAGGAATTGATCATGTGACCCAGGCCAGTCAATTAAAGCAAATCCTGGAACTTTTGCTGAGACTGTGGGAATGAGCTCGCTTTTCCATGCGAGTGGAGCTTCTGAGACTCATCTTTACCAGCATGAGTGGGGAGCCGTCACAGCAGAAAATAAAACTAAGAGATGAGGACAGATTCCTGATGGCATTGTCGGCAACCTGGATCCAGCCTGGAGGCAACCCTCCCTGGACTTTTCAATTAATAGATTCTCTTTCTTTGCTTAGACTACATGGAATTGAGTTTCCACCACTCACAACTGAAAGGGACTTCAGTAACCAGAGAGCCAGAGACCCGCCCAGAGTCATCCAGCTGGTTAGTGGTGGAGCCACGGGCTGTAATGGACACTGCTCGCTCCTGTACTCAGCCTGGCCTGTCCAAGGGTGGGAAGGGCAAGGAACAGGGGCAGGAGAAAAGCTGAGGTCAGGGGGGCTCCTGGAAGAGTTACCTGGGGCCTGGAGCAGGGGAGCAATAAACTTAGGGTGGACAAGCCGCAGGATGGGGTAGAAGGGCCCGACCCACCAGAGGTGGATGTCACGGAAGAAGTGGCCCAGGTCCTCCAACAGTCGCAAGCCCTCCTCATTGCTCTGGACCTGGGGACAGCAAGGCTGATGCCAGGCCTGGTGGAGGAGTCAGTTGCTGCCATTCCCAACTCAGTCCCCTGCCCCTTTCTGCCTGGATTATTGGTTTGCGCCTCTCCCCACCTCACTGGGTCAGCCTCTCTGTGGGTTTGTATGTCTCTCTCAGTCTCTATGTGCCTGTCTCCTCACTCTTTTTACCTCTCTTCCCCTCTCTCTCTCAATCTCTTCTCTCTCTCTTTACTATCTCTATCTCTATTTCTGTTTCTTTTACTCCCTCTGTCTTTATCTTTCTGTCTCTAACTCTCTGTCCCTCTCCATCTCTCTGTCTCTGTATCTATCTCTGCTATCTCTAGCTCCATCTCTATTTCTAAGTGTGTTTCTTTTACTCTGACTCTATTTCTGTCTCTCTTTTTCTCTCTCGCTACCTCTCTCTCCTCTATCTCTGAATATGTTTCTTTTACTCCCTGTTTACTGTGTGTGTCTCTCTCTCTCCTTGCTTCTCTCTCTATCTCTCTTTGTTTCTCCCACTACTGTCTCTCCATGTCTATCTCTCCGCCCCTCCCCACACCTTACACTTCACCCTCCCCATTTCAAGTGAATTCACAGACAATCTCGCCCATCCAATTTCCTTCTCCCCGCCCCCCACCCCAACCCCAGTACAGCCTCTTGCCACTATCTCCTGCCAGGAGCCTCCCCAGCTTAGCAGAAAATAGCCTTTCTTGGCCCACCATACCCTCTAAGACAGCAATGCTTCCCCACCCCTGTTTCCTCCAATATTTCTTCTCTTCACCTTGAACTGAAACCATTAGCAAACAAAAGACCACCATTGGAGCAAGTGTAAACACACCCCCTTTCCCCAACCTGACTGCACCAGCTCAGCCCAAGCCAGAGCCTCATCCCAGCATCACAGTGCCCCATTGCTGGCATACAGGAAGGCCCCAGGCTGAAATTCTCAGGAGGATGCACTGCCCAGCCCAGTGACACATCACCCCAGACCTGCACCAAAGCCAGAACCCACCGGGGGAGATCAAGGGGGGCCCCAGAGAGGACTGAGAATGAAGTGGAGGAAAATGGGTAGAAGCCCCTCAGGAGGGGAGGGGACAGGCAGAAGGAGAGCAAGAAGTGATAGACTGAAGGGTCCAGGGACACTGACTTAGTTTGGATTCTTCAGAAGCAGAGTCTAAGCTGGGGGTGCTTGGGTACATGGTTTATTGAAGGAGGGCTCTCAGACTGATCTGGAAAAAAGTGAGGGAAGCCAGACAGGAAGCAGAAAGAAGAAGCCAAGCAGACATGTGCTCAGCAGGAATCCAGCCTCAGCCTGACCCCACGGGGAGCCCTGGAGTATGAATAGCGCCCTGAGCTGCACCTCTCTGAGGCAAGGGAAGGTCTCTGGGTGGAGCAAAAGGTTTGCGCTCAACTACTCACCTAAAGGTTGGCAGTTCAAACTCACCCGGCAGCACAGTGGAAGAAAGGCCTGACTCTCTGCTTCCATAAAGATTACAGCCAAAAAAACCCTATGGAGTAGTTTATTCTGAAGTACATGGGGCCTCCCTGAAACAGAATCGACTCCAAGGCAACTGATTTTGGGGGACTTAGTTTCCTAAGGTTCCTGGGTGACTCAAATGGTTTGCACTCAACTATAACTTAAAGATTGGTGGTTCGAACCCACCCAATGGTGCCACAAAAGAAAGGTCTGGTGATCTCCTTCTGTAAAGATTATAGCCAAGAAAACCCTACGGAACACAGATCTACTCTGACACACAGAGGGTTGCCACAAGTCAGAATTGACTTGATGGCAGCAGGTTTGGTTTTGATTTGTTTGAAGCAAGGGAACTGGGCGTTTGTATCCCCATATCATCAATTATGGGGTGCAGCACCCCACTCACTCCTGGGAGTAGGGACTCAGCCTTCCAGAAATCTCTGAACAAGAGCAAGACACCTCCCACACCCAAGGGCAAGTCTCTGAATACGGGGACAGCAGTGAGCTATTGGGGACCACACTCACAGCAGCTGACACCTGGGTGCAGCAGCCTATGGGGGGGGTCTGGGCAGGACACCAACAGAGTCTACCAGAGACACCTGGACAGAGATGGAAAGATAGAAAAGGAGACGAAAACCAAAAGAACAACATTGCTGTCACGTCAATTCTGACTCATGATGATCCCATGTGCTTCAGAATAGAACTGTGTTCCATAGGGCTTCTTGGCTGGAATCTTTATTGAAGCAGATTGCCAGGTCTTTCTTCTGCAGCACTGCTGGGTGGGTTCAAACTGCCAACCTTTATATGAGCAGCTGATTGCAAACTGCTTGCACAACTCAAGGACCCATAAGAAGACACGGACAGAGAAATGGAGGGAGGAAACACCAGTGAGAGAGAGAGAACCAGAAAGACAGAAAGATACAGAGACAGACAGTTGCAGAAAGGACAAAGACACAGATGACGACACACCCCCAGACACTGTCCTCCTGGTGTCCAAGACTCCCCTCTCCTGATCACCACCCCCACACACACACTTCTCCATACACTTCACTTGCTGCTCCTCAGCCTGACCTCAAAACGTTAGAGTTCCTTGTTCAGGCCTGGACCCTCCTCTCTCTCTGGGCTCTCATCTCCCCAGAGACCAATTTCAGTTCCCATCTCTGCTCGGACACCCCTCATGCCCCCAGCTTATCTCCTGGGCCCCACAGGGGTCCACCCCTCCTAGGAAGCTCACGCAATGCCCCAGACCCTCAGATTCAGTGTGGGTCCAACAGAGCTCAGCCCTTGGTCCCCAAACTGCTCACCCCCACGGGTCAGAGATCCAGGGGCCAATATTCCCTGTCCCTCTTCCCAGCTCCCCAGCCAGTCAGCCCTTCTCTGCCCTTCTCCCTACAGAGTGTCCCTCAAATCCAGCCAGCAGCATCACAGGCCTCTCCTCCTTGGCCTGGGGCACAGCCATGGCCTCCTCCCTGGACTCCTCCCTCTGTGCCCTTCACACATGCAGGTCTGACTGCAACCCTCTTCTGCTCACACACCCTCCATGGCTCCCTATCGTCCTCAGAGTCAAGTCTCAGCCCCCCGTCCAGCCTCAAGACCCTGTTGGCTCTGCCCTGCTCTCCACCTTTCTCTCCTTCTTTTCTGATCCCTCCACCTGCAATGAACGCCTTCTAGATGCTCAGAACCAGGTGCTCACTCGCTCTCTTTGAGCCTCTGTGGGGGCTGTTCCTCCAGATGGAACATCTTCTCTCTTCTTAGCTTAAAAGTCCCTATTATTCTTTCCAGCAGCCCCTCCTCCAGGAAGCCCTCCAGCTTGCCCCAAAGGCAGACACCTTGCCTCCCCTCTGGGCTGCTTGGTCTCATCTCTTCCTCCGACCCAGCCCTGACCACACAGGTTTGGGGTGTCTATGTCTAGTTCTGTGTCTCCAGGATTCAGGGTACCTCCAGGGAGGGGCTGGGGGCTGAGTCCTTCCCAGGTGGAGTCCCACGTCCAGAATACCAGAGCAGGTGTCGGCAAATAGATGAAAGAAAGACAAGGATGGCCGAGGGCAACCAAGAGAGGAGGGGTCCTGGGTCCTGCAGAGGCCGCACCAAAGCTCGGCCAGGAGGGAGCTTGGCATCCTCATCTGCAGCCATGACACCCACCACCAAGTGCTCTGAGTGGTACCTGTGATGTTGACGACTGACTGGTTGGTGGCAGGATGGCAGAGGACGATGAAGGGGAAGATGGGACTTAATTATAGTCTAAAGTCCTGGGGGTAGGTGGCCACCAGGTGAGTCAGGTCCACCGGGCTCTGCTTTTTGGGGGGTGATCTGCAAGCAAGGTGTGTGGTCACCTAGCGGAGGAGCCACAGGAGCGCCCTCCAGGCCCAGAGGACCCAAGGGTCCCCACTTAGAAAGGCCAGGTGGGAAGGAGACAAGACCGGAGGCAGAAAGTCCACAGGGAGGGAGGGAGAGACCAAGAAGACACATCTGGAAGCTGGAGAAGAGGAGGCTCCTGGAAGGACGAGCAGCCAGCTGGGAGGAGGGTGAGATGAGGGAGGTCCTGGTCATCCATGGGTCATCTCGTGGGTCATCCCAGCATGATGGGGTGGGGATCAGACTAGCGCAGTGGACAAGCAATTGGGGAAATTGAGGCAACAAGAGCAGATAACACTTAGTCCACGTGGAGATGGCACAGCGGGCTGACAGGAGGGTTGGATGAGAATGAGATGCACTGGAGGTGAGTGGGTAGATTTACCTGTCACCTGTCTGTCCTTCTTGGTGACCTCCTCCAGCATCGTCAGGGAGAAAGCTCAGAGCACATGAATGGTTGGGCTCATCTAAGGGGAAGTTTTGACAAATGGCTATGAAGGACAGCCCAAAGGGCAAGTGATGGACTAGGGAGTCAGAGCCAGCTATATGCAAGGGAACAGGGTTCAGAAGGAACTGCTGGCCTGGAACATAGAGGGGGCTGGAAGGAGTTTAGCAAGGAAGATGGAAGGAGAGGGGTTGTGATCAAAGGACGCAATGATGGGATCAACGGCATTGGAGATGGTGTCCTTACAGGTGATGTGACTGTGGCAATAGGGAGCCAACACAGCTTGGAGGAAGGGATCCTGGGGACAAGATCAGGATGGTGGGTGCAGAGCCCCCTCTCAAGAAGTTTGACCATTAGGGCAGAGGCCAGAGTAATCCTTTCCCAAAAGGGAAAGGGAAGTGGGCAACAGTCGGGAAATGGGGCTCATTGGCATATCCTAGAGGTAGAGGGAAGATAAGAAGAAGAGGTACCCCAGGAAGCGGAACGATGGGGAGACTGCCTGCACCTCTCCTCTGGCCCAGCTGTGCCCTTGTGGTTGGGGGGAGAGGGTGGACACTGGCCTGAGGCCAGCAGAGGTGAGCCAGGTAGGAATGGACCCTGGACAGTGTTCCTAATGAGGCCACCCATTCAGTGAGACTGTGGGACAGTCAGGGGCTCCAGCTCCGCCCAACTTGCCCTGGGAGCCCCCCAGGAGACAGAGGTTCACTAATGGGGGGAACACAGGCAGGAAATTGATCCAAAGCAGGCCTGATAGGAGGGGAAGAATGAGAGAAAGGGCTCAGGCACGGGGGGAAAGGGGGGACAGAGGGGAAAAAAGTGGACCTGGGGGAAGAGGGAGGAAAGAGGGGCTCCCCTTGATGCCCCCACTGCTCTGCTGTCCTAGATCCTACCCAGCCCCTGACCCCAGCCCCTTGAATCCTATACCTGTTGCTTCACTAAGTTCTGCCCTGGTCCTGACACCCCAGATTCATTCCTGCCACCCCACTCACCAGGCCTAGGTGACCCCAAAACCAGTTTCGCTTTGGGGGCTGTGGGAAACATCGGAGGCGGCAGCAGTTGTCATAGAAGGTATAGGTCCAGGCCAGGACACGGGCCAGGAGCCAGGAGGTCCCAGCCAGCAGCAGGAGCAGCCATGCAGAGGCTGCTCCAGGCCAGAGTCCCAGCCATGACAGGTTGAGCAGCGACATCCTGCAGGCTGAGTAGAAGGATGCTAATTGTGAGCTGGGAAGCAGAGGTGGGATAGGCACAAAGCAGAGAAAGGGGCCAAGGGTGTGGGCTCCAGGAATAGGGGAGGGGGAAAATATGGGTAAATATGGGGCCAGAGAGGGGAAGGGAGACAGGGAAGGCCAAGGAAAGACTTGGGGAGACAGAGAGAGAGAGATGGAGTGAGAGGGAGAGAGGTGGCTGGAGGCCAGGAAGTCCCAACCGCAGCCAGCAGCCAGTGGCAGGTTGCCAGGATCTCCAGTTACCCAGTAACCACCCATCCCCCTGGACCAGCTCACTCCCAGGAGCCTCCCCAGCCATGGGTAGCACCCCCTCCTCATGTCCAGGCCAGGATGCCCCCAGCCCTGCCACCCCCAGCCTGGCACCTTCTCTCCAGAGTAGCTCTTCTCCTTACAAACTCCTCTCCCCTCTCTCCTGGGACTTCTTTGACTCTGGCCCAACCCTGACCTGGAGGAGGCTCATCTGGGGCAACCAATCCACGCAGGCCTGGCTGCCTCCTCCCTGCTGGCAGCCGGCCCAAGATCTGGAGGCGGACACTGGCTGCCAGGGAAAGGAGCCAGCTCAGGGTCACACATGTGAGAACTGGAGCCTCGAGATCCAGAACTTCCTGCTCAAACTAGGGGCAAAGTTTACCCTGGGTCCCAGGTTTACAGCCATGCTGGCCCTTCCAAGCCCAGGGAGCAGCACGTAAAACCTTGAACTTGAGGGTTCAGGGACCAGTGAACAAGACCAAGACAAGTCCTTCCCGCAAAACATTTTCCAGACTTCTCGCCATGCGTGGGCCATGGGGTTAGTGCACACATTTCTCGGAGCAGGAATCAGAGGCTGGGAGACAGGAAGATGCTGGCCCAGGCCACCCAGCCTGGCAGGAATCCAGTTCTGACTCCTGCCAGCCCAGGAGGCAGCAGAAACAAAGACTCCAGCCTTGCAGGGGATTATGGGGATCAGATTCTGGGAGAAACGGCTCAGGTGAGACAGGACACTTGGAGGCTGTGCAAGGGAGGACGGCGAGGAGGACAGAAGGTCAGTAGGATGAGCCCAAGAGGGCACGTGCATGGACAAGGTACAGGGGGAAGACTGAGTGGAGGTACCTGGGGAGAGTCCCCATTCTGCCCATCCTTGCTCTGATTGTACTGCTCATTCTCTTGGCCTCAGTCTTCCCATCTGGGAAATGAGGAAGTAGGTGGGGACCTTACAAGAGGGGCAGATCTTATCCAGATCCAGAATTGTACTATGGGTGGTCTCAGCCTCCCTGAGGTCTCCTCATGGTCAGACCTAGAATGAGAGTGAATTTAAAAATAGGGTGGCTGAATGAGAGAATCAGAGGCAAGATTCCCCCTGTAACAGATAGAATGTTAGGGAGACCCCATAATTTCCCCCATCTTAGATTCCTTCCAGCCCTACCTGCTCTGGCTTCAGGTGAGTGGTCCTGGAGCCTCAGCAACTTAGGGTGCACCACCATGGCTCACCTCCTTCTCTGCTGGGGTGGATCCACCTGTTGGCAAGTGCATCCAGGGAAAAGCCAGGAGAGGGGCTAGGATTTCTTAAACCAAGGCAGTAGATGAGAGGCAGCAGGAATGGCCTGATTGGACTAGGGGGAAGCAGGAGCAAAGAAGAAGAAACAGAAGTTCAAACAGGTCCAGTAGCAATGCTCTAGGCACCCAGTGAATTAATTAAATGTGACATCGCCAGTGACTACTACGTACTATGAGCACATAGTAGGCACTCATTAAATGTCTGAGAAAGAAAGGGACTTATGTAGTCATGAGCTCTCAGAACTTGATACTCAAAATGTGGTCCTTAAACCAGCACCATCAGCGTTACCAGCAGCCTCTGTTACAAATGCAGAATTCTGGGCTAAAACTCAGACCCACAAAGCTGGATTCAAGATGGCTGCAAATTCACTCACCCCATCAAGAGGTCCTTGTGTGGCACAAACGTTTTGTGCTTGACTGGTAACCGAAAGATTGGCAGTTCAAACCCACCCAGGGTGATGTGGAAGAAAGGCCTGGCAATCTGCTTCCATAAGTGATTACAGCTAAGAAAACTCTAGCCATTAAATTGTACTTGCAGAAATTGCTGAATTGGTGTATGGTCTGCTGTGTATATTCTCAACTACAAAAAATAAAATAAAATAAATTTTTTAAAAAAGGAATGAATTCAGAGCTCCCAGCAGAAGACAGAGCACCCAGTAAGAAGTGCCATATGCTTTCCCACCCCCCACCATTCTTTTCCCAACTCTGCGTCTGCCGCTTCCCACTGGCCGCGGTCTCTTGGCCAGGAGACACCAGCTCTGGCCCAATGCCACTTGGATTTGCCCCACCCACACTAGCCAGCTCCATCAGTGCCATTTGTTTGTTGCTGGTGTTGCTCTTTTTCTTATTCTTTTGGTTTCTTCCCTGCCTCTCACCACCTCCCCCTCTTTTCTCTTGAACACCTGGCTCTGTGTGCCAGCTTTGCTTCTTCTTGAAAGGCTGTGGAGCACAGCTCAGATGAGAAACTGCTTCCCTGGTCTGCACTGCCACACTGGTGGGATCCCTGGGGCCTTTTCTTCTTTTTGGTTTTGTTTTTTTGTTTGTTTTGTTTTGCTTTGTTTTGTTCTGTTCTGCTTTGTCTTGTTTGTTTGTTTGTTTTCTTTTTCTTTTTGTGGCTTGGGAGCCCCTTCTAACCAGGCTGTACTGCTTGGCTTGGGAACCACTTCCCCGATCTGCACAGCCACTCTGGTGGGATCCCTGGGGGAGGAATTTCTTTTTTTTCCTCTCTCTCTCTTTTACTTTTTGTCTTTCTTTATTTCTTGGTTTCTTGTCTCTCTATACTTACCTTCTTTTCCTGTCTCCTGAATACCTGGTGCTATGTGACACCTCTGTCCCTTCTATCCAGGCTGTACTTTGTGGCCTGGGAGCCACTTCCCAGGTCTTTGCAGCCACACCAGTAAGATCCCTGGGGGCTTTTCTTTTCTTTTTTCTAATTTTATTTATTTATTTCATTTTTTTTTCTTTTTTTCTTTTCCGTTTTCTTTTTCTCCATTTCTCCTTCTCTCATCTCTCCACTCCAGGGGCAAACTCCCTTACCACTCTTTTTGTTTGTTTGTATGTTTTTGGCTCCTGTTTCTCTATGCTCCTTCTCTTCCTTCCCATACCCATCTTAGCTCCACACCTCAGAACTTCGGCCCTCTTTCCTGCTTAACTGCACTGTGTGTTGAACATCACACCCCCAAGCAACACAGGCATGGCCTACCAGAACCTGCCCTGCACTGATTCCCAGCCTGCCCTTTTGGCATTAGTACCTGCCACAAACAAACCATCCCAGCCCCTCCCCTTCAGATGGACCTGCCCTGCTACACCATAGCTAAGTGACTGGCCCTGACCATTGGACAAGGAGGTGAAAAGTATCATACCCACCGATGAGCAAACAACAGAAAACACACAGCTCGCCTGCTCTGACATAACCAAATAAAACAAAAAAGCAGGACAAAACAAACAAATCTACAGTCAATAAACTAAGAAAATAACTACTGAATGTCCCAAAGACAGCAGACAATATCAAAACATTTAAAAAAGGACAGGATGGTTTCAGTAGGCATCCAAAATAAAACACCAGATAACTTCCCAGTAGAAGAAAAGGCTCTGGAACTACCTGATAGGGAATTTAAATCTCTAATATTCAGAGCTATCCAAGAGTTGAAGCAAAAAGCAGACAAAAATGAGGAAAAAATAGACAAATTCATGGAAAAGACAGACAAATTCAAGGAAAATAGGCAAAAAATGGAAGAATTCAGGAAATAATACAGGAACAAAATGCCAAAATACATTCACAGCTAGAAATCATACAAAAACAACTATTAGAAATCTTAAAGATAAACAACAAACTTTCAGAAATGGACAGTGTCATAGAAGGCCTGAGGAGCAGGTTTGAAACAATGGAAGACAGGATCAGCGAAATTGAAAACAAACACTTGGATACAACTTTGAGGAAAAATCAGGAAAAAGAACGAAGAAAAATGAAGAAACCCTGAGAATTATGTGGAATACAATCAGAGCAAAAATTGCAAAGTGATCAGAGTTCCAAAACAGTGGTAGAAAATGGAAAATACAGACAGGATCATTGAAGAATTGCTGGCAGAAAACTTCCCTAATATCATGAAAGATGAAAAGCTGACCATCCAAGAAGCTCAACAAACCCCATATAGGATAGACCCCAAAATAAAATCACCAAGGCATATCATAATCACACTGGCTAAAACCAAACATAAAGAAAGACTCTTGAGAGTAGCTTCAGAAAAATGAAAAGTCACATATAGAGGGGAAACAATAAGACTAAGCTCTGATTCTTTGGCAGAAACCAAGCAGGCAAGAAGGCAATGGGATGACATGTATAAAACCTTGGAAGAAAAAATTGCCAACCAAGATTAATATATCCTGCAAAACTCTCACTCAAATATGATGGTGAAATTAGAACATTTCCAGATAAACAGAAATTGTAACATGTAAAAACCAAACCAAACTTACAAGGATTATTAAAGGGAGTCCTTTGGTCTGACAACAAACAACATCAGACCACAGCCTGAATCTAGGTTGTAAGATCCTACCAGCCAGATACCAACCTAGAAAATGAACTCTCAAGGACTATGCAAAACCAAAAGAATTACAACAGGGAACCAGAGAAGTTAATCTGTAAATGACAACAACATCAGAACAAAAAAAGAGGGAATAAATGTTGTAGGTATAGAACTTTCTAATGGAGGGGAAGGCAAGGTGATACCAAGTAATAAAAGACTGGTTCAAACCTAGGAAGCTAAGGGTAAATTTCAAGGTAATCACAAAGAAAGTTAACAAACCTACTTATCAAAATAAAGAAGAAAAACATAAAGTCACAGTAAAAACAAAATATACAAAAAGAAATGAAAAAATCCACACACACACAAAAAAAAGGAATTCAGCACAGGAGAGCAACAGGAAGCAAG